CCCCACCCCCCCCCAACCCAGCACCCCCAGCCCCAATGGGGAGACCATCCTTTCCATAGGGAGAACCAGCGCCCCCCAAACCAGCAACACCAGCCCCAACGGGGAGACCATCCTTTCCATAGGAGCCCCCAATACCTTCCAAACCACCACCAGCACCGCTAACACCAGCTGCAGCTCCCATTCCCACAGGAAGGCCATCCTTTCCATAGGAGACCCCAATACCTTCCAAACCACCACCAGCACCAACACCAGCTGCAGCTCCCATTCCCACAGGAAGCCCATCCTTTCCATAGGGAGAACCAACACCTCCCAAACCACCAGCACCACCAACACCAGCTGCAGCTCCCAATCCCACTGGAAGCCCATCCTTTCCATAGGGAGAACCAACACCTCCCAAACCAGCTGCACCAGCCCCAGCTGGGAGGCCATCCTTTCCATAGGGAGAGCCAAATCCTCCTGCACCAGCACCTCCCAAACCAGCCCCAGCTGGAAGACCATCTTTTCCATAGAGAGACCCTATGCCGCCCAAATCAGCAACAGCAGCCCCAGCTGGGAGGCCATCCTTTCCATATGGAGAACCAAATCCTCCCGCACCCACTACACCAGCACCACCAACACCAACTCCAGTTGGAAGACCATCTTTTCCATAGGGAGACATTCCTCCTTTACCTGGTACATCAGCTCCAGCCCAGGTTCCAACTCCAGCCCCAGGTTCACCTGCATGTCCATGCTGCCCATAGAATCCCCCAAGTTCACTAGCAGTGGCATCTCCAACACCTAGTCCAGCTGGCAGACCACTGGGGCCATACAAGGCTCCCACTCCCCCTGCAGAAGTGCCACCTGCACCAGGTCTGGCCCCATCTCCAGCTGGCAGACCATCCGGGCCATACAGCAAGCCAGTTCTTCCCCCCTGACCTGCAGGACCACTGGCTCCAACTCTCAGGTCATCCTTGCCATAGGGAAGGATGCCTTTCCCTCCAGGAATCTCAGTACCTACAGCATCCTTACCAGCTGCAGTACTGTAGGGAGATGGCATGCCTGGCATGCCACCCATGCTGGCTGAATCAGGACTGAGTCCATGTAACACAGAGCCAGCATCACCCAATTTACCACCCTTGTCATGCCAAGAGTCCGCACCTCGTGCGTTATCCAACGTACCACCCTTACCATCATGAAAGTCCCCACCACCTACACCTCTGAAGCCACTTCCTGTGTCATGAAATGACCCCATAATGTCCTCAGCCCTTTGACCAGTCCCAGGACTGGCTCCAGCTAGGCTAGCATCCCTGTCTGAAAGAGAACGCATTCCACCTGCACCAGCACTGCCAGAACCATATGTTCCCATCATACCCTCCTCTTGATGAAGAGAACCCATGCCTCCCTTTCCACCTAGGCTAGCCTCAGTTCCAGCTACGAAACCCTCTTTACCATATGGAAATTTCCTGCTGTCTGCTTCTCCCACCCCAGCACCCTCAAGCACAGCACCATGAAGAGTGTCTGAACCTTCTGTGCTTTTGAGTCCAGCTCGAGCATCACCTCTGCCATCCCCGGAATACAACCCGTCTGCTCCTTCTAACCCTTCGCCAATACCTGCTTGGCCTGTCAAAGAATCCTCACCAGGGAAAGCCCCTATTTCACCCGTGTGTCTCAAACTCACTAATCTACCGCTACTATCATGTCTCCTCAAGTCTCCTTCTACCTCTGCTCTAGAAAACTGCCTCAACCCCATCCTTCCATTTATGTGGGCTCCATCTAGCCCTTCTCGTCCCAAAAGTCCATGTCTGTCATCATCATCAATGAAGTGGCCTTGACTGCCTTCTCGGCCATATCTGCGTATGCCATCTCCTGTGCTAACGTCCATAAGGTGATCTTGGTCCCCAAGATGTTCTCCTTGTCGAAGCCTTTTAGCCCTCTCCTTATCTGAGGATGCTCCTTTTGGCCAGCCAGTTTCATCTTCTTCATTTTGTCTCCTCTTTCCTTTGGCATCTGTGTTGAAGACGCATTGTTTGATTGGAGGAAAAGCAATTTTCAGGAACAGGATCAAAAAAAAAAAAGACAGGTAGTTTACACAATGTACAATCAATGCATCAGCAATCAAAGAAAATGCATTATCATTTCTTATCATATCATTCTAAACCCCTGAAAAATAAATATATTAAGTAAAGTTATATTTGGTTCAAATCCTGAATGTTTTTAGTGGCTTAAGCAAACATAACTTTGTATTTCTTAGTTAAAAGGTATATTATTTTTAGTGGAAACATATAACTTTAAGAAAAAAAATGAAAAGACAAATTTCCAGCATGATAGGTCTAATCATGAAGGGCTTGGGTGGTATTTAGGACACATTTAGTTTCTTGTGTCCTCCAACCCAGGAGGAATAACAGAATATCCCACATACAGTGTGGCCACCAGTTCCTGTCCGTGAACTGGGATCTGGTGGCTATTGAGGCAGCTTGCATATTTGGCATCCTGGCATTTTAGATCTCCAGCCTGAAAACCTGAAGACTAAAGAATCCAGTCCTATGAATAACTTTGTATTAATGTAAAATTCATTTGTTTTTCCTCAGAGGAACAATGAGCTCTCAACTCACATGCAGTTTTGATTTTCACACTGGATATTTCAGCAGAGCATTTGATTTTCACACTGGATATTTCAGTAAAAGCAGTGGACAGTTCATTTGTTATTTAGCAACCTTTTTGTTTCTGAAAGGTCATCAGACACAACCCTTAGGAGAGACAGCAGCTTTTGCAGTAGCAAGAACTCAACAGAAAGCAGAGGAGACTTTTCAAAGGTTTAAAAAAACAGAAATCATCTAAGTGATTATCTGCTTTCACCGAAAAGCATGTTTTCCTATCTTCCAAGCTTCTTAAACTCTATTTTGGAAAGAAAAATACAACCTAGCAAGACATACATGGAAGGTCTTTAACCCTCTGTTTTCACACAGTGGTAGCTTTGTAAAAAAACACATGTCGAGGCAGGGATTATTTTTAGACAACTGATGGAAAACATACCACATCGTAGCAACTGCAGAGAAAATGAGCCAAGATGTGGCAGGACTAACAAAAAGGGTAAATTTTATCTCATCTGAATAGAAATAAGGAACTAATCTGTCTCTCATTTCTCCAAATACAAATTGGGAACTAGAGGCTGCACAAATCATTGCTCAGCATAGTACCATCCAACAGAGCAATTTAGATAGTGAGAGTATATAATACTATATGTCACAAGAATAATGCAGTGTTACTCACACTCTACAATAAGCCAGGCATTTGAGGAGCCAGTTCCAGTATCGAGTGTGTACAGGCCACTATCAGAGGGCTCAGCATTTTTGACAATCAGCTGGTGGGTCAGACCATCAGGTGATACAGAAATCTGGTGCTTCTCACTTCCCTCAAGGAGGTGGGTTTTGTGTAGCCACACAGCATCGTGGCAGGGCGTGAGAAGAGTACACTTAAAGACAGCATCTTCTTCCTCATGGCAACGCATGTCAGTGAGGGGCTGCTTAAATCTCACAGGGATGGCTGCAATGGAAAATCAAAGGTTACAGACAGGAAACAGAGGGACTTCTGTCATCCAAGAAAAACTTTTGCAGTAGAGGAAGGAAGAGAAGAATTTGTGAACCCTGTGAGCACCAGTTTAAGCAGAAAAGAAAAAGTGGAGTGTGCACCTGTGCCCAAATCTAATGGATCTGATGGATTTTAGCATCATAACACTACTGTTGAGGGTGCTTGTCATTGCTTTGACTTTACATAAGCAAACTATAGGAACTTTAGGACTTTACATATAGGAACTATAGGACTTTACATATAGGAAACTATTCACATAAGGAAACTAAAAATTTGTGCGTGTTTATCCAGAAATCACAGCCAAAATGGCACTTGAACTTGGTCCTTGGGATTACACTGAAACACCCCCTTCATGTCACCTCCTGACATTTTTCACTTGAGTCATAGAAGTGAATCCCTGCTTGGCAACATGAAAAGAGTGTTCTGCAGTGAGTGTTTTCACTGCTTCTGTGCTTATATGCATCAAATTCAAATCCTCACCTTCAGCATCCAACTCGGTTGAGAAAACAGGCACATCTTCCACTTTGACTTGGTACAAGCCTGCATCATCTGGGTGCACATCGTTGACAATGAAAGTGTACTTCTTTCCTACTTGTTTCAGGGAGTGCTTTCTGTATTCATCCCCTGTGCCATATCTCAGCCTCTCACCATCCTAGGAAAAGAAATAATGTACTCCTAACAGAAACACGTAACTACTCCTAAAAGAAATGCATAACTAGCAAAAGGCATTTCTAATTAGACCACATTTATGCTGAAATTGCCTTATTGAAGTCAATAACCAGAAAAGAGAAGGCTACAGTCTATTATTTCTTACAGTGGATTGCTACTGCTCATTGCTCACAAAACATGGAGACAATACTACATGCAGTAAATTTTGCATGGAGAGAGAGTCTGATTCTCAGAACTGGCAAAATGATACTACTTTTCGAGCACAAGTAAGGCTTTGGCCTTCACAAACAGGTATTCTCTGTAACTTTAAAGACAAGATATTTTTGCTGCTATGATTTTAGCACCTTCAAAGATGAATAAGCAGGCAAATTTACTGCTCCCCAGTCTGTGATAGTCTTGGGTTACTTTCTCCACTATGCGGCTGCAGTCTGCCTCGTGTTCATTTCAGAAGTTTACAGAGTCTAATCTCCTCTTACAAAGGAAAATCAGATTACTTTTCCCATCTTCTTTATGTTAAATCCACTAACTACAGCTTGTCTAAAATATAGCTTCCAGAGAAAAACCCACAGCACTGATTATCTGGGGAACACAACAGAATAATTGCATAACTCTACCAGATGGTTTACTTCCTTGAAATTTTCTTTTACCCAAATGAATTAGAATGGAATATAATACTCAAAATCTCTGCTTTTCTTATAAACGTCTCCAGGCATCTGTTAGAATTTCCTCCTACCTGAAGTGCTCTGGAAGTCAAAAGCATGTCAGTAAAAGACTGAAATGTCTCCCCTATACTCAAATAGTCAAATCCCAAGCGCTGTGTATCACCAAAGACTATGTGGGTCTGCACACCAACACTTCTCTCTAACCAATCAAGGATCTGATTAAGGAATTTGACAGACAGACAACTTTGTAGGACTATGTCTATCTGCTCTAAGTGGATTAACCATTTCATATAACATAACAATAACATTTCATATAACAGACTTCAATGACTGTTACAACTATCCAACACATCCCCCACCCGTCTCTTACCTTAAGCAGATAAACTTTGCTGTTACTGTTTTTCAGCTCCATTTCTAGACTGAGGATAGCCTTTCCATCTTGGGTGACCCTGATGTGTTGCTGGTTCTTGATACTGTGTATTAACTGCAGAAAAAACATAACAAACACTAGTAAACGAGAAAGCTGGCATGAGAAAAGGTTCACTACAGTGAAACCTACTTTTTATCTGTATAGAAGAGAACTACCTCTAACTGAGCATATTGAAGAAGCACCTGTTAGTTTCCACTGTTTCCTCCTATAGGCAAATTATATTTTACCTGGCACTCTCCTTGTAATTCACACATTCTGCAATTGTTATTTGTGCAATTTTCTAAATGTCCCTGTATGTGAAGGTCCATCTTGACTCTTAGATATATCATCAGTTTGATGCCCAAATTCTCATCAGAGGCAGCCAGATACAGAACATAGCCATGGAAATGGCTAAAAGGATTATCCTAAGATCATTATGTGCTAAAATATGAAAGTGGACTCCAAAAAGTAACATTTTCATCCACCTTAGTACAGAACTGGGACTTCTTTAGAGCATTGCAACAGATCATTCTCTATCATACAGTGAAATTTCCAATCTACAAAGCAGCTTAGGAAGGGATAGCTTATCTTCAGACATGATTCAGGTAATGCATAACTCTACAGTTCCTTAAAAATCAGTGTTTCAGTGGCTTCAGTTTGTCTTACTTCTCCATGTGCAATCTCCGTGTCCCTTCTTATTTCCTGAAGCTTTTTCAGCATGCCACGGAAGTCTGAAATTCCATATTTTATACAGATTCTTTCATAATCCTTTTTATCCGCATGCAGCAACAGTTGCCAGACTGCTTCTCTGTCCACTTCTTTGGGTTGTTTTCTTGGGGTTCTTGGAACCAGAAATAAGGAAAAAAGAAAAAGACCTAGAAACTTTGACAATGACAAAAGCTCCTTGTTCCCTTCACCTTAACCTCTTCATCTTCCTCTCCATCATTTCTGAAATTCATTCATTCATCCCCTGTAGATGTAGGGGATGGAACTCTTTGGGGACAGGTTTTCTGCATCTGTTCTATCAAACGAAACAGTGCCAGGGAACATCTTGCTCTGGGATGCCCAGGGCACTGAAATGCAATTGTCCAAACTGTTAAATAGTCAGCAGTCTCTCACACAAGTCAACTTGCACTCTTTTGAATAATTTCTTGGCTCAATTCAGGACTTTTCACAGGGATCATTCACATTTGAGATGTTTTTGTGAGGCCACCTAGTCAGGAGGCAAAGGGAGTTCAAAAGTGTGAACATGGCAGGCTTTGCAGATGACCCTGGGACCAGAGCTCTCCCTGGTACCGTTGTATCCCTTCATACAACTAAGCCCCAAAAAATCACTGCATGAGCATTTATCACCAAGCTAGGAAGCTACTTGTTAGCTAAAAACAAGGACATCAGAAAAAACTTTTAAGACAAAATCTCGTGATGCAAGGGAACCTCAGAATAATGTTGGTACTTTGCACTTATCTCAGCCTAACACATTGGCAAACTGTTCTGCTATCGACCTCCATGTTGTGCCTCACAGCAACTCTGGAAACAAGAATTGTGCTCTTAAAGTTTATGAAGCTGCCCTTGGCCCTACCATATTGAGAAACAACTAGGAAGTCTCAAAATGGCCTTTCCTACAGAGTCTTACCTCTTTCTCAGCATCTTCTTGTAATCCTTAAGTGTCTTCTTTAACTCTATTAAAGGTAAAAGAAAAAAACATTCAGGTAAGAAACTGGAACTAGTCAATATGGTAAAATACAGGCCAATAAAAGTCATGGAAAATAGCTACTAACAAGAAGCCTTTTGATTATGCCATATTCTGTTTCAGGTGATGATTTTACCCTTCTGAAGAACTGCCATAAAATTTATTATCATGTTTATCAGCCATAGCCCTGTTCTTTGAGAGCCACAATAGCTCATCGTTCCTACTCTTCTCTCCTTGCTTTCTGCAGCAGACAACTGGACTGCAGCAAGGCCCCCTGTTTCCCAGCCATGTTAACACAGACAACCTGGCTGCATTTGACCTCGCAAAATCCTTTTCCAGCAGGTACCTGGAATCATTAATCAGAGCAGCCCAAAACCATGTTTAAGAATGTTGCTTTAGTCAAAGGTAAAGAGCAAGCAGAAAGAGTGGACAGAAAACTAGATATTTATTATCTCTTCTCTTACTTCACTATTTACAAGTCTTAGGTAAGTACCAGAGCCAATAAAGACAGATAAGGTCCTGAAGAATTTTGCTGCTATAAACTCCTCTACTATTGCTGCCCATTCAACCCTCTCTCTCACTAGGGCTTAAGACTTTATGACTTACTATTTCTCTTTCTCATGCTGTAATGCCCATAGGAGAATACAGACTATATGCTAGTGCCAGGAAGACAGACACATTTTACTATTATTTTTCTGCTACTTCCTGAAAAGTTCTTGGCACCTCTCTAATAGCACCTTATAATGCAACTATCTCACTCCCTGCATGCTCCTCAAGTTAATTTTATTTCTTGCATTGATGAAGGAAAATAAGTAATCATGCTTTGACAGAGGTGCATATGGTATGCCACAAAAAAAGAAAAAAACACACAAATAGCTTACCATCAGCAGAAGGGCCTTGAACTTCTTGTGCTTTCCTCTTAAAGCCAACTGATAATTTAGGAGAGAAAAGAGGAAAAACAATCGATAAAATGAACAAGATAACATCGAGGCTAATACCAGTAAACCAGTGAACTATAAAACATACGCAGTTGTTAGCAACGCAAGAGACAATCCCAGTCTGGATTATTTTGTCAATCTGACATTGATTACTTGTAATCTCCATCTGTCAAATGCAGATAGGGGCCTTCTACACTTTACAGGCAGAGAGGGCAAACGGGTACTTCCAACCAAATAGATTTCCAGAGTAGGTCAGTTTTACCATATCCACAGAGTGCCCATTTCTCTCCACTGACTATAAAGAAAATCAGGGGACGAGGTCAGGTGCACCATATGTCTGATGTGAAGTGAGATGGATGTCTCCCAAAACACTAACCCACTTGTCAACGCTCTGGGCACCCACCCCTGCTGCACAGCAAAATCAGCTACTTGGGGCCGCAGGACTCTCGGGCTCCTGAACCTGCCAATCCTACCTTGTATGATCCTGAGGCCAGCAGAGCACGCAGCTTCCCCATACTCATTCACGGCAAAGCAGCGATACAAATCGTTATCATCTGCAGTGAGTTTGTTTATCTTGAAAAGAAGAACATAGTAAGAACTGGCAGCCATGTCATGTGATTCAGTAATTCACCTCCTAATAAAGCAGCTACTCAGAGACACCTCAGATCTTTCTTCTGAGGATGACTCAAAGGCTTTCTTTTCTATTTTTTGTATGTTATTTCAGATCTGGTGACATCTGTATTTACTCCCATTTGTGATCTATTCAAACCATTTTGCTCTTTTTGGAAAAAATATTTTAAGAAAAGAAAATCCCACGGTATAATCAACTGTAGTTTTTACAACCTACATCAAACTAAACCTTCAGCTCTTCTTATTTCATTTTGAAGTTCCATGTATGTATGCAGTGATGTAATTCCATCCCGAGCTCTTTTATGCTTTTCAAATACTGGGTTCCCTACATAGTTCTGCTAGATTCCTCCCATATTTCCCTGGTAGCCTCTTGCTCTCTCTGCTTAATGGATTCTGTCTGCAGTATCTGCACCTTACCTGCAGAATGAATTCATTTGTAGCAGGGTTGAAGTAAGTTTGGTATCTGGTAGGATCGTTCATTCCTCCTTTTGCACGCTTCCATTTCACTTCAGGGGTTGGGACACCTTTGACCACAGCTCTGAAAATGGCATTTTTACCTTTCAAAAGAGGTAAAATGTGACTCATTTAAGGGAGACTTGAAGAAATGAGATGAAAGAGGAACAAGCACATAATAAAGATGGTATTCACCTCTCCTGATTTTAGGCATTTAAGGTTTGGCTGCCTAGCTGAAATGAGTCATTTAGGAGACCTGCTGTTCCAAAGTCCACCAAGCACACATTTATCCCCTTTAACCATAAAAGCAGTTTAAATCATTCACGCAGATGTAGATAACAAAACAACAGCTATCTAAAGGTGGGGATAGCTCTAGTGCTAGGATCCCGATGTAGTCAAGAGAATCATCTGCAGAGGGAGGCATCTAGAAGTTAGCTCTTTTATCCTATCAAGACAGGAAACCTAAAATTACAAGAAATGTCTAAGTTCATGCAACTAAGACATCTGCAATAATCCCCTCACTACCTTACTGGCTTTCCAAAAAATTACTTGGAAACTTAACTATAAAATTGATCACGAAAAGTATAGTCTCTACCTGAGCTTTTATTGCACACATATATGGAGAGAAAATTGTCTACCCAAGGGGTGATTTTAACCTTAAATCTACTCTCATGGTCTCATTCCCAACTCCCTTCATATTTGGAAAGGGTCAGAAAACAGGTTCTAGCCATTTCAAGTCCAAGTCAGGCTATTTTCCCTGAGTCAGTAATGGCAGATTTTGTCTGTATTCAGTCAAAAGGGCTTTTAGAGATCTTCTGTCAAAGGAGATCAACAACATTATAGCAAGTTCAGTGCTTGGTAGGCTCTACTCACTCAAAAAAAACATGTTCTTGGCAGTCAACATGGCACCACACACAGGAGAACCAACAGAAGGTGTGGGGCTTCCCCATACACCCTCACACACATCATCTTTCTGCAGAACCTTTCTTGTGTTCTAACCTTACACTTAAGCACATCCAGCTCTTCTCTTTGAAGAGGCAAGGAAGAGAGAAGAGACGGGGTTGCCTGTGAGTCTTCTTCATATCTGCTCCCCTGAGAACATGAGTGTATTGCAGCTGAGCACTGAAACTTCCAACAGCTTTACCACTGCCTAGCAGAAATCTTTTGCATGTGTTTTTTTCCCTCTGAATAGGCTTTAAGGACATGAGAACAAATATAAAAAAAGCAAGTCAGAGAAATGACTCATGTATGCAGACAAGACAGAGGTGTAAGTAAGTAGTAATAGATTAGTGAAATAAAAGCAGAGACGAGTTGCCATGGATGTGGTTCAGGGAGGAAATCATTATATCTCTCTTTTGTAATAGACCTGGTCTTCAGATGATCAAACTGGGGAAATGTCTCATCAGAAAGTCTTGCAGTATTTCCCACAGCCTTCAGCAGAATCACCACCTTTTGACAGATTTATGCAGCATGCTCTCACAAAGTACGCCCTTTCCTGTCACGTAATCAACAGATTCTTACCAAAAGGCATCTTTCTTTCAACACTGAGTTAGTCCCAATTGCTTATAACTTTGCCAAATTTTACCTATTCTGGCTGCAGTTTCCCATACTTGCCATCTACCATAAGACAAAACTACTCATCTCTGAGCATTATCTAATCTATGTACCAAATGAAATGTGGTAATGATTATAGTGCACTCATAGCCCACCTGCATGGACACTGAGTTCAGGTTACACAGTGACTGCCATGAATTTTCTAACATTTTGCACATAAACAATGAAGATCCCACTTTAAGTCAAACAACACCGAAAACTGAGGCAACGTGGCCAGACACTGCCTTCATGCTCGAGAGTTGTGTGCAGAAGGAAGGTGGAGGAGGAAGAGGAAGGATGCACCGCTAGAGGCCACTGTGCTCCTTTGCACAATCTCATTAGTCCATGAAAATCAACACATGGGTGTGACAACAAAACTGAAATCCATGGTGCTGGATTGAATGGAGCCAGACTCTTTTCAGTGATGCTTAGCAATAGGATGAGAGGCAATGGGCACAAACTCAAACAAAAGAAGCTCCATTTGCACACGAGAAAGTTTCTTGAATGTGAGGGTAACCGGACAGGAAGAGGTTACCCAGATGTTGAGCAGTCTCTTTCCTTGGCTATTCTTCCTGGCTATTCAAAAGCCACGTAAACACAATCCTTGAGAACATGTTCTAGGCAACCCTGTTTGAGCAGAGGGTGTGGACTAGTTGGTCTGCAGAGGTCCTTTCCAATCTCAAGCCCACTGTGATTCTCAATAGAGAGAAGCACAACTTAAATAGTGTCAAAAGTACACCTTAATTTAAAAAGCAGTTAATCTTAGTGCTGAACTCTCCTAAGATAATTTATTTCAACAGGAAAAATCTTTTTCAACATACTTTTTTTGCTGCAAAATATTTACCCTGAGACTTTCCTTCAGTTTTCACAAGATTAGCTGTATACATCAGGAGACAGATTCTGATCTCACATATACTAGTAAAATCTAGAGATAGCTGCATCAGTACAGGAAAGGCCTTAGCCACACAAAGCATTTTTTGTTTTGTTTAGCTAAATCTCTTCAGAAACTTGCTGTAATTAGGATAATTCTTTCATGAGGGTGAGATGAGGTGTCATGCAGGTCTGAGCCTTGAACTCTTTTTCAAGAGTCTCACCTTCCTGTAATGACAGGGTGACAGGTTTCCGCTCGAAGTCAGGTGTACTGCATCCTGCCGGAACACGATCAACAAACTGAGTGATTGAAACTCCTGGGATGGCAGATTTCCTGTAGATTTTCACTAGAAAGGCAAGGAAACACATTGAATTAAGATAACATATTAATTATTTAGAAACAGCATCTCAATTTGCAGAACATTTAGCTTAGGTCCTCCTAGACTAGTAGAGCACTTAGCACTTTCTAGCACTACAGAGTGCAAATTCAAACTCCAGAGCATGCAAGTCTGCACTGACTTATTGCAAAGCTAGGGTCCTAGTAGGAAAATCTGCAATCTGGATTGCAGGGCCATAGCAGCTCATATGTCTCGTCAAACAGAGAATCCTTTACATCAGTTATTATTCCAAATGAACCTTCAGGATCTGGTAGGAAGAAAGCACTATTGCAAAGGGCAGCACAGTGTGATGGGCCAGGTGCTGGTATCTCCTTGTGCCGGTAAAAGAGATGCCTTAATGTCAAGGCAGGATTCTCAGGGCTTTCCCAGGTACGTTTCCCAGCTTTGGCTGTTCTCTCACCTGCTGGACGGCTTGCCATGATGTCTTGCTCAGCTCCTTGTTTTCCACAAAAACTTCCTGGAAGACAACAGATCAATTATTTAGAGTTCACAAGGTAAACAAAAGCCTTTAATACTACTCATCTGGCTGTTCCATATGACATTTCATGACTATCCAGTTAAGAATACAGTTCACGACACATCATGACAAAGTTTTGAACCACTAGCCCATCACAAACCAGGTAAGAAAACAGGTAGCAGAGCTAAATGGACAAAATTCACATCTATCAGCATCCCCGTGTTGCATCCTCCATTTCCACGCTGTCTGGTTTCCTTTCAAAGGCCTCCTCTCGTGTATCAGGCAGATATGACACCACATGGCACTCACGCGGTGAATTCTGATGGATGGCAAGAGCAGTTGCTGAGAAGAAAGCCACAGAGTTGAATGTCTAAACTGAGGCATGGAGTAACAGCACGCTCTGATCAAAATTAGCTTGTCTAATTTAGCAACAGGCCAAGAGGCCTAGGCAGACTATAGACTCGTATGTAATGTAGAAAGAAATGGTGAAGTGTCAGCTTTGCATTAAGAAGTCATTGTATAGATCACTCATGTGACCTTCTGCCAAAGGTTTCTCTGTGTTTATAAAGCAGGCAACATGTAATACACTATGTCGTTATCTTCCAAGCAAATCGTAAAGGCAGATTCCTTGCCATATGAGAGACACTCAGAAACTATAGAGTTACTGAAGCTCTGAAAGAGCAATTAGATTAGATTCCCCTGTGGGATTAATTCTGTGTCTCTATTTACCCTCTGCATGCATTCAGTCAACACAGAGTCACACAAGAACATGCAACTTCTAGCAGTTTTAAAAAGCAGATACACTTTGACAGGACTCTTATGATCTTATTTCTGTTATCTGCATCGAGAGAAATACCCATGCAACCTGGTATTCCCAAGTTGCACCAACTGAAAAATCTGGGGAGAACCCCAGCATTTCCTGATGTTATGCATTTTTCTTGGAGGTGCACTGTTATTTTATTCTTTATGATTTTGTGCTTGGTTTCAGCTAAAGGTAAGAGACAGCTAAGCTAACAAAAGTCATTTGGGCTACATATCCCACAGGAAGGCTAAAGAAAGGTATAACTCACCATACTTCTGGGTTAAATTCTGAATCAAGAACATAAACTTTGCTTTTTTTCCATTAATCATCACATGCAAATTAGAACACAGACATTTCCCCAAAACAAATAATCGGGGTCCACAGTTGTTCATAACACAAATCTTATTTTAGGACTCCACAAACTATAAAAATCTAACGGGTAACTCCAGGAATGCTATAGATTACCTCAAAAATCATTCCATGAACCTAATTTCCACGGAGATGCATATGAGACAACAAAAATGAGAAATGATGCTTGAAACTGTGTGAGACACAGCCAAGTCCACGATTTACATCATCTCCCAAGTCTGGCATGGGTAAACTTTGTTACCATTCCCCAAAACAAGAGCTTTATATGAGAGCATTGTCGGTATTTTTACTTATCACATAGTTATTTTTGTAAACCACCAGTAGATATTTTAAATTTCAAATCAAGGAAGGGAATGAACACCTTGTATGAATGAAAAATGCAGAACTGAATTAACCAAAGATGGTTCCAGGACACTGCACAGATGACTGAGTTCTTCAGAGGCCCTTAACTATCCTCCTTTGCTCGACTTCATCTGTCCTCCACAGAAGTACTGCCCTTTATTAACAGCAATTTTTAAATTTAGATAACAAATATGCCATCAGGCTGCACTGATCCCATGCAGCCTTTTACAGTCTGTGTCTTTCTAGCTATGCCACTACTTCTGGAGCTGAAACATCTAATGTTCACAGCTCTCAACAAACATGTCTCAAGCTGTACAATGTCATCCAAGCTCTTTTTTTAAACTGTTAGGATCAGATTTATTCTTTGTTACTCCTCATTTCTTCTCCCTACTTCTGGCAATACTAATATGTTATCTATATTACAACATGAACATACTCCTCGGGTTCTAAGTCATATTTTGATCAAGAAACTTAAGAATTTTCTTAAGGGACTGAAATGCATCCTAACACAGACAGACGGAGGTTGACAGTCAGATGTGACTTTGGATAGACACTGAAGTAGTTATAAACTATTACAAGTGGGCTATTGCTCAAATCTAGTAAAATTCCCGAACACTGATATTTATATAGATATTTATACAGATGGCCATAGTCACCATGTGTGCATCCTTCCAGTGTGCCATATCCACTCTGTGCTATTAACTGCTGAGTTCAAAGGGCCCTAAATATTTTAGAAATTCATGTGGATTAAAGATAAGCTTCTGCAAGTCCTTACACTCCTGTAAATTCTTGACTTCTGCAGAGTGAGGCAGAAGCACGTTGATGCCTCACATTGACTGCACAGTTAAAATAACAGCGTCAGTAAACACAAGAGAGCTTCCTGCAGCAGACTTCATCCAACTACACTGAATTTTCTACAGTCTTCTGTGTTAAATGTGGACTGGGAAATACCTTATCTACTGGCGCAGCATCTTGCAGACCTTTTACTGCTTGCTTTTAAGACTTCTGCTGTCTGTTACAGGAATTATCATGTTTTGCTTTTTGATTTCAGCTCAATACTTTAAAAAAAATAAGAATAATTATAGAAATTTTTAAAGAAATGAAAATAACAATACCCTACCAAAAATGCCATGGTGGAACTTATATCAACACTCAGAGCTGTCTAAAACACTGCTGCCCACACTAAGGTGATCACTGAAGTTGCTATTCAGTCAATGGAGGCAGAAGAGAACACCCGAAGTGTGATTTGCCCTTTCTATGTACAATGCTGCTCACCAATTCCCAGCACAACAGGACTAACATTGCAAGTGGCTCAACAGTCACTCTCTTCTGAAAGATACGTGTGATCTTCATGCACGGGCCTTGTTTAGGTAACTCCGATGTGTCTGCCCCTCTCTCCTGCCAAAAGTCTACCCAGTTTTCAGCTGCTTCGATGTTCCCCATGAAGGGAAAATCTGCATGGCTCTGACTGCAGAGGAAGCCCTTGACCAACAGCAAGATTTTTAATCTTGCAAAATGAACCAGATAGCACAACGGGATGCAGGCATGCCCTTCCTCTTGTCTGCCCATCAATACATGTGGATGAGACAGCACAAAAGCGCATATGCCCTTTTGCACTATGACTGGGCACTTGCAATAGGGCCATAAATCAGTTAACTGAATAAGTGAAACATTTGGAAGTTGCAGGATTTGGAGGTGGTGGTGTCACAAGTGGTTATTTACGAGGTTCAGGCAGTGTAACATGGGGACAAGACGTGACATAACTGCTGGCAAGGATGGGTGAACAATATTAGTCACTTGTGGAGAAGTGACAGGCAGCAAATGGTGCAAACGTTCAAACATAGGTAATGAGTCCAGAGGCGCAGGATGCATAACAGAGTGGCCCAAGCACAGCACAATGGGGAGTACAAAGCCATGAGCATAGCCCACATCACTTTAATTAAATTAGCATTAAAATATAATGTAACCATCTATTTCTCTTTGGCAACTCCAAAAAATGTGGTGGACTCAGTGAACATGCTAAGCAAAATACCAAATCACTTGTGTTCCCTCTCAAGTTCTAGCTGTGCATTACACGACTGAGTTTAGACGCTTACTGAGAAGAGGGAAACTCTCATTGAAAATATTCTCTCAGTTTTGAGGGGAGAACGGGCTTTTTTTTTAAGCTTTAAGTTTTGTAAGTACTATTTTGAGTCTGTGTCTTCTCATTTTTTAAAAAAGGAAAAGATTTTTTTGAAGGAAAAACCCACAGACTTTGGTTAGGACTTCAAAACTGAAGGGCAGCAATCGCAGAAGTTCAACTTCATGAGCACTTTGGGGCCCGGCGCAGAGGGGAACCCAGGCAGCCCTGCCGAGATGAATGGAGGCCTTGTGTAGAGTGGGGAGGAATGTCCAAGGATCAGATTCTGTGCGATTTATCCCTTCAGTAAATCTATACTTGACTTGATCTTCTCTTCTACCTCAGGGATTACGAAGATAACACATGATTGCTCATGCCATCCACATCTGACGTAGGCAAGCACCAGATACTCTATGGCTATTTTCTTATGAAAGTGGCCTTGGCCCAAAATGCCAAAAGACAGACCCCATCCGGCCAACTGAATCAAAATGATTTAAGCCAAAAGAGCAGTGAGCAGAACAATGAATTCATGCCAGTTGGGTGAAGCAGATACAGATGGCAACATAAGAAGAGGCGGTTTGTTGATTCCAGTGTCCGCAACATACCCACAAATACTTTCCTAATGTAGACATGCATTTTCACACACTCATTAAATTACCACAGAGCAAATACAACAGAGCTTTAAAAAGATGTCGAGAGGGAAAAACAACCCATTCCTACTAGCTGTCAAAAGAAGCAGCGCCTCCGAAATAACAAATGTTAGAAACCACAGGCTCCACATGTTACTTCTCCAACAGAGGCGGCACTTGGACAGCCAGCCATTTAGCAGGGAGTTCAGTGTATGCTGTGGGAAGCCATTCCGCATGGAACATTGACAGGCAATGCGAGGACCCATAGCAGTATGGGGGACTGCCTACTGCAACAGTGACACCTCATAGTCACGGGTCTGCATCACCCACATTCAAATCCCAGCAAAGGAACAACCAAACTCACTACTTTACAGGTTGACCTTCGGAGCTGATCCTACTCGAAGTCAATATTGTGTCTCCTAGGACCAGGGCTGCTTTGTCTGTTGGCTCAAACCATGGAGTTCTTCATAGCTGTTCAACAAGTCTGTTTACCACACAAATTAGTGATCTGCATGGAAAAAAACAACATCCATTATCAAAGTGTTGATTAAGCAGCAGAACAAATGACTATTCTTGTCGTCCTCTCACTTCTCTGCTGTCCTAGAAGCTGAGCCTGGGCTTGGTAGCTGCTCCACCAGGGTCTCTCCGTACTGTGATGTGCGTGGTTGTAGGGGGCTCATTATATGCCCATATGGAGCACG